ACACACGTAACAGGTAGAGAAACCTAACCCACTACCTTGTAACTTGAGGAGACAAAGAGCTGCCACCTGCCAAAAATTAAAGATTCCACATAACGGCCCGTCATTGGATGTCTATGTCAAACACCTCTGCCTATAAATAGTTTAACAGTTTCCGCCCAAGTCGGAGAGCTCTGGGGATCTCACAGGAAACACCTGTGCTTGTCACCAGAGAATTGGGAAATTGATCAATTCCCAATCAATCACCCCGTCAGCATAAAATATTGACGTAGAAAGTCTTGCAAGCTCGACCGTTCGTTCCGGCGCCACGTCCGTCATTATCCCGTTGTAACCTGACTGCGTGCGTGTACTCGACTCTGTAACCGAAGTTATATGCGTATACTCAACTCTGTAACCAAAGCTGTAACGGAACAAAGGATCGCCTGCGTCGTCCATCACTATCTAGGCGACGTAAGTAAACAGCTCTAAATCTAAACCCTCCGGTGTGAGTCAGGCGGCTGCCGGCGGCTGCTCTGATTCACATTAGAGACTTTTGTTGACAATTACTGTGCGCGGATGTTTCCTTTAGAACTGATTATGGAATTTTGTCCGGCTGTAAGTCGGATCTCTCTGGATGGAGAGAGAGAGAGTAAATTAAAAGCCAGCAGCTATCCAATTAATACTTTGATTTACAAATCCTTTCTTTAATGAGAGAGAGAGAGTGAGCAGAGAGGGGGAACAGGGTGTGTGGGTGAGAAACCCCAGTTCTCCTTGAAGGTTGCACCCAAATGCACAGGGGTGTTGTCCGGAGATGGAGGCTTTGCCAGTCTTACCCAGCGACAGTGCTCCCAAGGGAAAAAGAGAGTCAGTTTGGCATTAGTTGGGATCAGAAGCTACCCTCCTACATATTAATTTTAACTCCCATCAAAGTCATGGCAGGCGAGAACAAACACTAGGAGGAAGAACTCTACCAAAGTACGTTATCTCTCTGATTGACCCAGGACACCCACTCACAATGCACTATACTGGGGGGCTGTGCATTGCCTGGCCTCAGATCGGGGTCTGTATATTCACAGGTGCCCAGGGACCATGGTAAGTCAGCCAAGCAGGCCTTGGCACAGGCGGCTGCTGGCCTAGCCCCCTAGCCCCTGTCATTCCAAAGGGCAGGTGGGCTGCTGGGTGCTTGTCTTCCCAGCCCCCTTCCCAGATTGGGGTAGGCCTGGACCCTGGCAGCACCTGCTGCAGGTGTTCCAGATCCACTCCTCATTCTCCTGCAGGCCAGGCTGTCTCCTCCATTGCTGCCAGGCCCACAGTGGCTGGGTTTGGGGGGCAAAGGGATCCCAGGTGACTGGGATGCAAAGCTGGTGGCATCCCTGCTCTCCCCACAGCTGGCCTCTCTGGAGAGGCACTCTGGGGCATGCCTCCCCCTTGCATATGCCCTGAGCATGCTTCTGGTGAGAGTGTCCCAAGCACTCCGTGATGAACTGTTTCACAGACCTAGGGGCGCCCAACCCACTATGTCCTACTGCTGCTGATCGCCATGGTGCCCCAGGCACACCTGAGAATCTAGCATGGACCCCTGAGCTTTGACAGTGTGGTGGGAAAGCCTGCACTTCCCTGCAATGTTTGCTGATGCCTGGAGGGGTACCTGTGCCTATGCTATGCATCTGAAGACAATATCACCACTGGCATCAACATGTTTCTCCATATGAGAGAGGCGCATGCCTGCCTAGCTGAGGGGGCACAGGCTGCTTAATATAGTTTTGTGCTGCCTCCTGCCTCCCTGCATACATTTTTTGGGGGGCGAGGGATTGGGGGGGGGGGAAGTCCAGGGAACAAGGGGAGTGCCTTCAGGGCCTTGACCTTTATGCAGCACCGGTGCACTGACTTGTCATGCCTGTGCTCCCACATGTGGGCATCCAGGTCTTCATAGATGTGGGTGGCTCTGGACCTCATCCTTGCCTCACAGTGCTACAAGATCTGCAGTCTCATCCTGGGACAATTTAAGCCCCCAGGAGGTGGAGTATGGCACTGGGGATGATGTCAATGTGCCTATCTCGACAGCCTGCAGGGGCTATGGGTGAGAGTCTGGGTCTCCTGGGCCTGGGCAGGTGCTTGCAGCACATAGAGCAGGCATGCAACACAAGACAGGTAGACAGGTGGTGGTGCTGGGCTGGAGGCCAATGGCAGGGTCCAGGCAGGCTGCTACAGCTGGCCCAGGGCCACTGCTGTGGGACCTAGTGGTCAGAGGTAGGCTGCAGGTGGCACAGGCCTCTAGGGTCACCACAGAGTTTTAAAGGGCAAGCTGAGGCAAGCAAAGAGCACCTCAGCCCTGGGGCTGGAGAAGCTCCAAGCCCTGTGGCACTGGGGATAGCCTGAGGCTGGCCCCCTGGTGGTGGGGCTGACCGGGAGCAAATTTGCTCCTGGTTTGTGTCTACATGTGCACTACTGCGCAGTTACTACAGTGCTGTTAATTTGCTACCTGCATTTGCAGGTAGCTAGTTAGCTATGCAGTAAATTAATTTACTGTGCAATAAGCACCTGCACATGTAGACGGTGATGCTTTACTGTGCAGTCAATTAGTCAACTCTGCAGTAAAGCATCTCGTGTAGATGCACCCAATGTTGCCTAGTCCCTTCCAGAGCAGTAAGTGAACCTGGACTTAAACCTCTGAAAACCAGAAAATGAAAAATTAATGCATTCCTGTCCCACAGACTTAATTCTGCTCCCCCTCCCCTCCTCCACCCCAGAGCTGGCAATAGGCATTGGGAATAAGATGAAAAAAGGAGCAAACTTGCTGAACCAAAAACAACAGAAGTGAGGACTGACTAACAAAATACACCAACAGACTGATAAATGTCATCAGGTTATTGCAAGTGTGATAGGAGAGAATCAAGCAACCATTTCATTTGAAGATCAATTAAACATTTATTGCCTCAATCTAAGGTTTGACAGTGACTCTTTGTGGAAAGGAGAAATGTAATTACCTCTAATGAAACAAAAGATTGTGAAGACAGAAAATAAGCTGCAGACATGAATAATGAAGAACTAGGGTGATTTTTTTTTTAAAACCTACTGAAACGCTTTTGATGAAGACTGTCATGAGGTTGTTAAAGAAATCAAGCATGAGGTGAGAGATATAGTACTGTCCTAGATAAGAAACTACCTCTGAAAAGGGAAATGCTAGTGAAAATCAATTTGCATTTACTGTCCGGAGCCTCTGTCACTAGTACCTATGATTCAGTCCTGCATGAGTCTTGAGTCTTGAGTTGTTAAAAGGCCCCAAACCACAAGCTGCTAACCAAAAACCAACAGTTCTCCAACCATTTTATTCAATATGCATTTTGCAACCTATTTCAGCAACATGGGGTGCTAATCCAAAGCTATTTGGTCATTACACAACATGAAACAGAATTACGATGGAAGCCACTGGGTGACTTGGATGACTAAAAATGGTGACATATGCGTCTTAGCAGTGAAATAGAATTCTGCCTTTAATGTACTTGAAGTTTGTCCTAATATTTAATTTACTGGTATATTTTCTTTGTGTAATAATGCCACCTCAGAGCAAAGAGGACATTTGACATCAACCAGTATCATCCACTTGTGTCCTGCAGTATCCTCGCTATTACAATGCACAGGATCTCTCCTCAAGGACTTGGCCATTGTGCCTTAAGCCCTGATCTGCAGCTCTCCTCATCTAGAAATTCCAGTCCTGGGGTACAACACTAATCTGACAATGTGCCTTCCTAATGGCCTGCTATGCTCTTTATCAGGGGTGGGCAATTATTTGGCCTGGAGGGCCACTTAAGGAGTTTTGGTGAGCTGCTGCGGGCTGGGCAGGGAAAGTTGGGGTTACTGACCTGGCCTTGGTGCTCTATCACACCTGTTTACACCTCCTGGCACAGGGGGGAGGAGAGCAGGGGTGGAAAGATGCCAATTGATCCTATGTGGCACTGGGCCTATCCACCCCACACGCACTACTGGGGGTGCCAGACAAAGCAGGTAGGTGGTGTCTCCACGGAGACCATCCCGGGACCTCTGTAGGCAGGATGTGCTCGGTTGGGCAGATGGGATGGGGCTGCAGGCAGATGGGGTGCAGCGTCCAGGAGTGGGACAGGAGCGGGGAGCTGGGTCCAGGATCATGGGCAGTGATAGTGCAGGGCCAGGGCCCAGGGCAGAGTTGTGATCTGCTTTCCACACATCCCTGCAATGGGCACTGGCTCCATGGACAAGGTTTTCAACCTGTGATCCACAGGTCCTTGGGAGTCTGCAGACTATGTCTCAGGGATCTGTGAAAGATGACTATGATCAATCAAAAGTATGTGAATACCCACCCTTACAAATTAAAGGGGTCTGTGTCCCCTGTGACCCCTTTTTTAGGGGTCCGCAAATGAAAAAAGGTTGAAAAGCATTGCTGTAGAGTGTCCCCCTTACTGCCTGATAGAACAGTCTATTCTATTCAGGGACACCCTCATGGTTGGAGCTGCCATTGCAAAGTGGTCTCTGACCAGCAATATGCCTGAGACAGTCCTCCCTCTTCATTCCCACTGTACTTTTTGGTTCTGGAGGCTTTGACAGTGGGCATTTTCCAGAGGGCCCTGTACTTACTGACATACATTTCTGTGCTGCTGCTGCTTGCTGGAGCCAGAAAATGGAGGCAGAATGGGGAAAAGCCATCCATTCTGCACCCCACTCCTACTCCTTAGACAGCATATGGGACACGTACCACCTGCACTTCCCCATCCTTACACTACTGGTAGGCAACCTATTTTGCTGCCTTATATTTGCATTGTTTCTGTCCCCTATACCTGATACACTTCCCCCTGCATGGCTTGTGTCATTGTTCCCCACATCTCTTCCTCTGGGCATCATCTCTAGCTCTGAATATCCCCAGCACACAGTAGAACACATGGCTGCTGAAAACCTTATGCAGCCTTGTAACAGGGGATGCTGCCCTGTTGCACTCAGTTTTAATGAAGGGATGGCATGATCAGATTGATTGATTGTCGAAGCTATTCCTGCTTCAAATCCAAAATTTATTAAACACATAAGAAATACCAAACAAAACTGGACAGTTTACAGGGATATTCTTATGTAGGCCTTCCATGCGATGTGTTGACTTAGCTGGCTGGGCATTGTCATAGCACCAGGGGTCACAACCACAATAGCAAGGTCTTCTCAGGTTTCCAGCCTCCCAACTGTTGAGCTTCCTATGGGTTAAGGTGCTACAGTAACTATATTTATATGTTCCACAATTATTTTTTTATTTCTTTCCACTCCAATCACCCCCTCATGGCAACTATCTCACCAATCACCCTCTCACAGCAACCTTTGCCCCATTACTTAGTTACCCACATTCTGTCTGTCACTTTTCTCACGCTAACTAGCTCAGTTATGTAAGCAGTTATGTAATTCAGCTAAGTAGGTCACCTGGGCACATCACTCCTCATGCCAAGGCCTCAAAATGGCATTGGTAATGTCCAGGCTTTTGTAATGGACGTCAAGGTCTGCAATCTCCTCCATGATAGTGGTTCCATTTAAGACACCACTATCATTTAGTCAACAGTCCAGGTACAAGGGTTAGACTCGACTCTTCTCAATGCCAAGCGGGGTGCATCCACCTGTGGAGGAATGACATGTGGCAGCTCTCAGCACTTATCTCAGCTTTGCCGATTGATTGGGGGGAAAGCCTCATAAGGTGTCCACAGTTGCCTGACACTAAGCCAATATCATTAGGTTCATGTACATCCCCTTTAGAACTATTAACATTACTAATATACTAACAACAACAACAACTTGAATGATTAAAGTAAAAACAATAGGGTGCAACATTACATTAAGTATTCCTGTTGTGCATGGAGACCATCCTAATAATGCCTCCCACCAGTGATGCTCCCGCTTGTTCTTCACTGGATACACTGATGATTTTTTCACTGTTGTGATGCACAGAAATTAACTTTTGATTTGCCTAGTCTGCGCCGTGTTTAAGCTTCCCTTTAAAGATGGGAGCAGCAAACTGACCTGCAAAGTGACTTAAAAGCTGCTTGCAAACGACCGTTTGCTGTCCCTGTTTGCTCACTCCCTGGTCACTCAGGGAGTCTCCTTTTATACCCTTCTGGGCCTGCACTGCTTCCACCCCCTTGTTAGGGCTTTTGTCAGACACAGGCAGCAATCACTCAGCAATTACTCAGCTAGGAGCACTCCCAGATACTCAGAGCACAAGCTCAAAAAAGCAGCCCACCAAACAAAGACTCAGCAAGCCAAACATACAGGCAGCCCTTGCTCACTTGCTTTCCTGGAGTAGGATCTGATACCTAGTGTCTGGTACCTGACTCCTCTTCCTCTTCTTGCTCTATGTGTAAGCTGTGCAACCTGTTATGAGTCTCTGAGCACAGTTAAGTACAATGCCGAGCTCTTTTCACGTGACAACTTCTGCACCATACAGGAGCACAGTAATCTACTGGGGCATATACCACTGCCAGTGTGGTGGGTCTGAACACTTTTAAGATGGCACCCCATGTCATGCTGGCTAAACATCTTAAGGCAGCTACCTGTGCAGAGACTTTACTGCTGGCTTTCTGAATGTGAGTGAATGGTCTAACGTGACCATAGGTGATGCATAGGGAGGTGCATGTGCCCCCCTCAGATTAGCTGCTGCTGCTGCCAGCTTCTGTGGGAGGCCACCACCACTGCCAGCTTCTGCGGGCGGTCGCCACTTGCCATGCCGCTGTCGACACTGCCGCCAGCTTCTGCAGGAGGTCGCTGCTTGCCACCTTGCCACTGCTACTGCCACCAGCTTCTGTGGGCAGTCGTTGCTCATCCCCCCTACCACCGCTGCCAGCTTCTGTGGGGAATCACTGCTTGCCAACCCCCCAACGCCTTCCGCCGGCTTCTGTGGGCAGTCACTGCTCGACACCCTGCTGCCCACAAACTGTGCCCCCTCAGTCTCAGGAGGCACCAGTCACCCATTAATGTGACTGGTAAGTTGGGGTATGCTCATGGGGAAGGATATAGTCGCCTACTCTGATATTCAGCATGGATATAGTCACCTACTCTGATATTCAGCATGTTCTTGGCCCGATGACTGTCCACATGGAAGACTGGTGATACTGATTTATTGATGCTCCTCACTGAGGAGCATCAATACACAAGCCCTGCTCCACTGGCATGGAACGAAGCAGAAGTGCCAGCCTCGGCCCCCCTTACTGTTGTTGGGGCTTGTCAGTCTGTGGCCACATCTACACGAGACGCTACTGTGCGGTTGTTACTGCACGTTTATTTAATACTTGTATAAACAAGTACTAAATACATGCACAGTAACCTGAGTTACTGAGCAGTAGCACTGCCGAACACCTTTTAAGTGATGCTGCTGTGCAGTAGCCTAATACTACTGCACAGCAGTGTCTCAGCATGGTTTTTACCACGCAACACTACTGCACAGTAGTATTGGGCTACTGTGCAGTCAGTCTCATGGGGCCATAAATATGAGTAATTGTCAACAGACTACCCCATCCCTCAAGGTCGTGTTGCTTTCCTGAGAGAGGCTAGAGTGCTTACCCAGCTCTACCTGACACAAGCCCTAACCCAAACAGATTCTGATATACACTGAAAGCTTTTCCTGAGCCCCACAGCTGAGGTATAACATGTGAATCTTTGCTGGCAGTCCTTTAGGCGCCTTATGGCAGAGCAGCTACGAATAAGCACCACTGCAGGTAAGATGCAGTGGGAAATGGAAATTCTCCCTAGCACCCCCACTCCTTCCTTCCCTTTCCTCCTGGAGAAGGCTCATAAGGACTCTCTGGGGGAGGGCCCCTTGCACCAGCAACTGGACCTGGCATTCTCCCTGCCTTCAGCCTCAGCTGGCTGTGCAGGCAGCTCAGGGGGACAACTGACCTGCCAATTAACTGACCTGCCAACCCACTGAGGCCAATCAAAGTAAGAGACACTCTGCTTTAGGGACAGTTAAAAGATCACGCCAGACTGAGGTGGCCTGATGATAAGCAGGGTGGAGTGAGGCACCTACAGGCTCACTCCAGTTTCTGAGGGCAGCCTCCCAAATTGATGCTAATTTACCAGCCAGGTGGCAGGCATGGACAGGACAACGGGCTCAGGGCAGCTCCCAGTTTTGGAGATGAGTCCTGTTACAGTTGCAAGAATTCTCAGCACTTCTGAAAACTCAGGCTCTGCATGTCTCAAGTTTGGCCTTACAGGCACCCAAAATTAGTGGACGCTTCTGGAAATGATGGCATTATCCTCTGTGTGCCATAAATCCTTATGTATAAGATGGGGATATACAGCCCGCCCTGATAAATTCATCTATATATTAATAGTCAGACACAGACTCATAGGAAAAGTCCATGGAGAAATTTTAAACCCCCACACTCTATGCAGTTTGGCTAGTGGGCATATTCTGAATGAGAGGGGCAAAGAGTAATTTGGAATAATTGCCTCACTTGCAGAGTCCAGACTACATGCACTGCCTGAGGGCCTCTGCGAGCATTTAAGTAAAGGGTGGAGCACAACGCCCATTCACAAGGAGGAAAGGTGGCATGAGCTGCATTAGGTTTTTGCCTCTGTTCGCTTTTGAATATTTTACCCTGTAACCTAAGTGTCTTTTATTGTAGCTTTTTTGTATGGAATATGAGGAGGTATTGTGAGTGAGTGGTCCCAGCTTGCCCTCTCCTGGACATGAGCCATGAGTCAGCCACTTGGCATTTGGCTCCTAATCTGAACTTCCATGGTTTTGCATCTTGATGGCTCCAGTCCAGGGTCAGATCCAGAGTGGGTACAGTGGTGTGCGCTGCACTCCTTTTTAAGATCAGACCACATTGCCACAGTTGAGCTCTGTGGGGGAGCAGCAAGGGCAGGCAGCAGTGATGGGTCAGATGATGGATTCCCCCCGCCCCCCACACACACTCCACTGCCCAGTCTGCTGGGAGAAGGTGTGGGCTGGTTGGGTCAGGAGAGGCTTTGAAGCTTCCCAACCCTACAGGACAGCAGGGAAAGCAGCAGCAGCAGCAAACATGGGGAGGGGTGTATAGGAGGGTTAGGTACAGACATTCAAAAAGCCAGAGGTAGTTTAGACTGGTACACACATTCACCCTTTGGTGGGGAGGGAGGGGATTAAATCTCAGACTGGGTTCCACCCTTTTATAAACCAGTCTTCGTGCTGAACTTCTGTTCTGTTACAGGTATAGACCATTTTCCAATCTCTCATACCAATAAAAGTATAATGTTTGTACATGCTGAGGTGTTCTTGAGCACAGAGTGAAAGAGGGGATTCTTACATGCTTTGTGGTAGCCAGAACCAGAGGGGTTACTATCATGAGCAATAAATATATGCTCTTGGAGACATTCAGGCAATGGTCTAAGCAGTTAAGATTAGCTAATGCAAAGCTTGTAAGTTTGCAAACTGCAAGTGGAATTTGTCTGTCACAATTTAACCAAAGTGTTGAATCTAACTGTTTGCACTGATCATGGGACCACTGAGCCCCCCAAAATAAGCAGAGCTACAAGATTAGCTGATCTAACAGATTTTTTAAAGGTCAAGCCATAACAAGATCTGACCACCTAATATAATTAGCACATTCCAAGGAATCCAGGAATAAGAAACTGAGGCATGCGGGCTGGGCGGGGTACAACGAGTTGGTGGGCGCCCACGGGTCAGATGCAATTCTCAGGCCCAGTCAGTCACACTGCAACAAAACAGTGGCAAACCTACCGTGTTCACCGGGGGACAGCACTACGCACCCAACGCAACGAAACGTGAAGTCACGGGGAGCCAACCCGAGAGCAGCCGGTGGCCTCTGCCATCTGCCCCTGCGGCGAGAAGGGCGCACAGGGGTCCTGCTTATGACACTTACATCAAGGCAGGCTCCCGCTGGAGGACCGCTGGACCCGCCGGAGCGCAGCGCACAGCTCCGGCCGAGTCCTTGCAGCAGCCGGGCTCTGGCGGGACGCTGCCGGGCTGACAGCGGGCGTCCCATTGTGACCTGGCGGGGCGCGGGACGGCGCAGCGCGGGGCGAGTTGGGGCTGGCGGGAAGCATGGAGGCGGCGCCGGAGGAGGCGCCCCGCACGGACGGGGAGCCGCGGGTCGTGGTG